CCCCCCAAACCCCCCCCCCCCCCACTTCCATCCATCGACGCCAATCCTACACAGAGCGCAGGCAACATAACCGGAACATCTCCAAAACCACCGAGAAAGAGGTGATCTGCTCTGCCGTGCTAACACTGAAAAAAAAACTCCGGCCGTGGGAGCCGCAATTACGGGCTATATAGACATACCGTCCGTTCCGGGCTCAGAGGCCGAAGCTACGGCTCCAGCAGCCGGAATTTTCGGCCTTTGAGCCCGGAACGGACGGTATGTCTATATAGCCCGTGATTGCGGCTCCAACGGCCGAATTTTTTTTTTTTTTCAGTGAAGGAATAATCGTTGTATGAGCCATCAGACGTTGCCAAATTTTCTTCGACGAATCACGAATTTTCAGGACAATTTGTGAATATTATCCTTTAGATTTTTCAGAGGATATCGTCTGTAGTTTAATCTAAAAAGTCTGAAAATTCAAGAGATGATGAGCTCCGCGACAGTAGACAGTAGAAGTTCTCGTCCATTACCAACCGGATAGCAGAAAGTTTATTTGTTTTGAATCTACATCATGTGTACGCAATGCATGCTATTGGTGAGTTACCGAAAGCCTCACTCGAGTCCTCGCCGTTGTTTTACCATACATTATATCAAACCTCGAAAAACGCCTAACTTTCTGAACTTCCCGAAAAACGAATCCCTTATATCTGCATCAAAACACCGTATACAAGCGCGAGACACACTTCAATAAACTGTCGCCACTTCAGTTTTAACGTCATTAAAGTATGAATATCATGACAGGGAAGTTTGTTATCACAGTTGCCTCGATTCCTGGAAGGATTAAATCAGCTTTTCTCAGCGTCGGCATCGCTGTGGGAAAATGTTCACCCATGTTGCCACTTCACGCTGAAACAATCCTTTAAATATTGTATTCCAAGAGGAATTTTTGATATGTTCCTACCCAATTTTACATCGATGTTGAGAGGCCATTAATCCCGCTGCCGTGTATCGGTGTCAATCTTGTCGTGTTGCGTGTTGCGTGTAGCTCGATCGTAGGCGTAGGGGTGATCGTGCCCCCGTGAGAGGGGATGAAGGGAGTCAGTCGGGTGAGTTCTAGGCAGGGCCGCACCACACTCGCTGGGGCTGGTCGGGCCGAAGTCGTACCTCACATCGTCACTCTGCTGCGCAAAACTCCATCGGCTCGTGATTCCTAGCAATCATTGAGTCATACGGGTAACAGGGCTTATCTCTTCAGCGGAGCGATTATTAAGACTTATAGACAAAGCTATAGACAAAGACGACAAAAGGGATTTGGAGGGATTCTATTGGTGGAAGCAGGTGGTGGCAATAGACATAGGAGGTAGGTAATAGACTAACTAACGGCAACCCACTGAAGACCCGACGGTTAGTCCGTCATTTTCTTCCTTAGTCTATAAGAACCAACCATGTCAACCAATAGGATCGCTCCATACTTCCTATGTCTTCTTTGTCTATCGCTTTGTCCATCAGTTTCAATAATCGGCCGGCAGGGGACTGATCATTGAAATTGATAGGCAAAGCTATAGACAAAAAAGGCCTAGAGAGTATGGAGCAATCCTATTGGTTGAGACGGGTGCTTCTCATAGACTTACGGGGGAAATGACAGACTAAACTATCGGGTCTCACGTGGGCTGTCGTTGGTTAGTGTATTACTTACCTCCTTTGTCCAATCCAACCACTCATTTTAACCAATAGGGTAGCTTCATTTTTCCTCTGTCTCCTATGTCTATCGCTTTGTCTATTAATTTCAATAATCAGCCGGCAGCTCTGTTCTCACGATCAAAATGGTACATCGATGCGACTGTTGAGTGTTGAGTGTTGCTCACCAAAATTGCGGCATCTCTACTTCTTGATCAACATACATCGCGAACAGATCATCGAAAGACATTCATACGATACTCTGCGTTTGCGATCTGTGTTGATCTTAAAGTAGAAACACCCCTCAATTTCGATGGGCAACATTTAAGATTCGAATCGTTGTGTCTCTTTTTGATTGGCCCATTACAATAGTGAAAATAGAGCTGTACGTCATTGTTTTTGCCGAGTGACGTATTCTTCTACATGTCATGTGTATCTTAAATGCCACAAGTCTAAAAAAAGGAGAGGAAGAAAAAGAAAGAAAAAGCCCAATGATGAACATTTTTTTCGGAGTCAGTTTTCCAATCCGGTAAATCACAGAAATTTTCATCTTGCCTCAAAAAATAATGAGGAATAACCGAAAAAAACCGGATTAATAAATAAAAAGGAAACGGATTGCTTACTTGGAAATCCTTTCCCAAGTCGACGACATCTAGCAACACTACGATACGTCTACAAAGAGAGCTTTTTGTAACTATTTTTCTCTT